GGGGGGGAGTTTCGCATAACGGTTGTTTGAAACTTCATCTTTTTTCTTTAGGTGACCAGTCATTTGACAGTTACATGAAAACTGTGCTATATAAATAAATACTGATCATCCCACTGTATACAAAAACACTACTGCTAATTCTGTTATTATTTTTTTTACTGTGGGGTCATGTAGAGTGTAAAAACTTATTACTTGTAATTGAAAAGTCATGAGCCATCATCACTGAGGCCTTGAGCAGCCACTTCACCCCAGGCTGCTCTGGGAGTTTGTCCCTGTCACAAGAGCACTGGAAGTCGCTTTGGATTAAAGCATCTCACAAATGACAACTTGCTGTTTAAGTGAGCACAGTGAAACATGTGGCAGATATTCTGACTAGACCAGAGTCAACTATTTTATTCAGGTAGATTTTAAGCTAAATTGTGTTTCACAGTATAAAGCTAAATTTTTTTAAATGTCAGATTATGGAGTTGCCTCATGTGCTTAAATTTTATAGTTTATTAGTTACAATATTTGCTGTTGTACTGTTTCATTATTTATGGCAGGTTCCACTGTGACTACTGGAGCCTGTGGTCTCAAAATGTGCTCAATGAACTGCATATTTTTCACAGTAGAGTGCTGAAGGGATGACGTATTTTTGTAGGCCAAAACTCAGAACCAATTTAGCATTCCATCGTCCTGAAGTCAACAACCAGCTAACCAGGCTAACCAGCGACACGATGAGAGATGGCATTGGTGGAGGGTTGAATGCAACGCTGTCAGATTACCTCAGGCTTCATTCACCAGTGAGAAAACATTCAATTACAATAATAACGCCTTCCATTCTCGCTCGGTCTACAATAGCGTAATGAAACACACTGATGACGTATCATGTCTGCGCGAACAGGGTGCACGGAGGTATGCAAATACATTGACGGGCAGGTTGGACAGCCTATTGTAGCCCTCGGACCGAGGCATATGATTGGATGAACATTTTATGGACCTACGCCTACCACAGACGATACAAATACATATAAATACATTTAGAGCACTTAACTTAGTGATTGCTATCAGGATGTGAGACTTTCAACCTGCATAACAAAAAATGTTTTTGAATCAAACCACCTACCCTGTCTTTACAGTCTATAAAGACAATGATTTGCAAAAATAAACCCACTCTGAGAAATGTTCGCTGGTGAAAAAAAGTGTGACAACCAGTCATATGCATCCTTCTCATGCTGTTTGTTATAAAAACATTCCCATCCAGCTCTTCTGCTTCTGAACATTACACACACACATTCATCCAGCATACAGGCCTTCTAGGCTACTGCCAGTATCTAGGCCACAGGCTCCATCATATCTGTCCTTAGCAGACAGTAGCAGTTAAATTTGTGTTACGTGAAAGCCTCTCCCAGGCCTTTTTCATTCACCAGTTAACAGCACTCCTACCCCAGGGTGTGCAATGCGTGTGTGTGCGCATGCATGCGTGTAAGTGATGGACACATTTATGCTCCCTTTCACTATCTGTTCATGTCCAGTGCTGTGATTTTAGGAATTGTGCTCTGTCACTTCACACAGCCACCAGGCCATCTCGCTTCCAGAGGAAAAAAAATCTTCCTAAAGATAATATGACACATGCAGGACAGAAACTGTTTTCTTCTCGTTTTATCTACTGAACAAGACAGCAGTAATTGAATGTATGACTAAAGCTCCATCCCACATGTTCTTGTGATAAAAAGCTACTGTGGACTATGAGGGGCCGTACAAGCCATAATTCATTCTGGCACTCTCACACACTTACATTCTCTTTTCACATAATATATTTTTGCTTTCACACACTTACATTCTCCTTTCACATACATATATTTTTGCTTTCACACACTTGCATTCTCCATTCGCATGCATACATTTCTACTCTCACACACATACATTCTCCTTTCACAGACATATATATATATATATATATATATTGTGACGAGTCGGCTGCCTCCCCCTAATTATCAGCATCACCCCGTCCCTTAA